AAAAACGTATCTAGTAACTTAAGCTACTTGCGCTTCTCGATGTTTCATTAAACTTTGTTAGGGCCCTTGCGTTCAGAGTATGTAAAGTCCGTTCATAGAAAATGACAAACATTTCAAAGATCAACTGTTACAAAATAATACAGTACTAATGCATATCTACAATGATTTTATATAGCACAACGCAGTTTTGGAATGGTTTCACTGGATATTTGCCACTTGTTACGGTAGGGCCCCCGCTTTTATTGCGGAGTCGATGTTTTTTTCCACGTGAGTCGGGGAATTTTTACGTTCACGGTCATAAGAAGTCAATGTCGTAAAAGCACGGAGACGATAAGCAGTGACACCCCCCCCTCCCCACTGTGACCAGTTCAATGTGCAAGATGCAATATGCAAAACCCCACTATTTCTTTAAACCTCTAGCAATGTTTTGCAGTTGAGAGGCAGATAAATGAAGATTTATTGACAAAAATGCCGATCTACAAATATGTATGATGCATATTTGTATATTGCTCATTAATTTATTATTATTTTATTGGATCGAACTAATCAATTTCTCGTTTTGTGTACGGATATCTGTACCGAGAACACAAGTACCAAGTACAGACACGCTTGGCCTCCTTCTGGCGATGATGTCCTCGCTGAAGGTGTGGGAACCATTGTACACAGACACGTTTTCCTCCCGACCTGTAATCAGTAACGGACCAAAGACACATAGCTGTATGGATGTATTTCCTCTGTTGTAATGCAATAAACGCAATTCTGTGAACTTTCTGAGTTTTTTTATATCCTAATTGTGCTACAGCAACAATGAAATGAAAACACGGGAAGACTCAGTGTAAAAGGGATTAGAAACACCACAGATGACACTCTTGAGTGGTTTGTTTTTCTCTTGATTATGAAAAGGCATAATTTCTGCTCGCCCCACGTCGATCGTTAAAACCGTGGTCATCTTTGGATTTAGCTGATCAGTACGAGGTAAAGTGAGCTTTCCGCGTTTTTTACGTCTCATAAGCTTCTGAAGAGCAGGTATACATGGTGTAATACTGGGATATTTTAGAGATACAGCGTTTCTAATGAGCGCGGGTGTGCTGTTTTGCATTTCCTCCTTACTTCACTCACCATATAAAGTACAGAGATCTTTTGCGGTAGTCCTAGATATGCATTTATATTTATTCCGGGAGTAGTCATAAAATTAATTGGTAAATCGACCGTGCCACATTTTAGATATTTTTATTTGTCAACTGCACGTTTTATGCAACGATAGATGCATGTAATCTTCACTTTCAAAATGGTAAATATGGCAAATACTACATATAAGGTTAGTTAAATTAGACTCCCTAACAGTTTATTCGGAAAATGCCATTAAAAAATAAATATGACTCCAGGCAAAGTTTTTTTTTTTATTAGAAGGTGCCGAAGGGTTGCAGTTATTTCAGCTAAATATCTTGACTTTCAAATATAATATATTCTTTTAAAGTTTCAAACAGGCAGGCGCGATGATATACAGTACATTGTTAGTGTCATTATTGTGGCCACAGTTAGCACATGCCTTTCGGAGCTGAGTGATTTTGGCCTGATTATTATTAATATTATGAGTAATCGTAGTTACTATTGCATAAGATATTTTTGGTATGGGTCGCAGTTTGCCCCCCTAGTTTGGTAATATACGCATTACCAATAATATATAAAATTTAAATATTAAGAACAATATTAAGATAGAAATAATATGATTTCACCCCAAAAGTAAAAAGTCACATACCAGTTCGTGTCATCGTAATAATTACTTTTAAGCACAAGACTGTATTTAATTTTATTCACATAAACATAAAGAAAATTGCTTAAGTAGAAAGTAGCCCAATCTTTCCTATTTTGTGCTGCACCAAAGCAACTATATTGGGTTCAGGAGACCGTTGAAGTCGTGAAATTAGTCGTAAGGGACAAACTAGAAGGCAGTGGGTCAGTCCTGGTGAGATATGAAATACCACTGCTTACACATGAAAGCACAAATCATGAAACTAAAGGCAGAAAAACAGCCAGAGGTTGGATATTAAGATATCTGATTTTCTGTAGAAAATCACAAAGTATTGCTTGCATGTATTGCTTAGAATCTAGCAGGTTTTTATTTGTAGATAGGAGCACATTTTGTACAGAAGGTTTCAAATTAATCTCGAGGTGTTCTGTTGATCATGAGCGTTTTGGGGGTTTCGTTGCATTTCCCTCCCTGTTTACATTCTTTTTTTATTTGTTTTTCCGGTGTACCTGCTAGTTGAGCTAAAGATGAAGACCTTCTCGGCATCTCACAAAACCGTGTTTGTGGTGGATCATTGCCCGTACATGGCAGAGTCGTGCAGACAGCAGGTGGAGTTTGACATGCTGATGAAGAACCGCACCCAGGGCATCATCCCCTTGGCCCCTGTCTCGAAGTCCCTGTGGACCTGCGCTGTGGAGTGCTCCCTAGAATACTGCAGAATACTCTATGACATCTACCCTACTAAGAAGCTGGTACGGGTAAAGATTTGGAAGGGTCATATCGGGGGCTATCCAATTCTGCTCCTGGCGGGTTTTCACTCTGACTTTGCTGTTACCAAGCCAGACCAGCTGGTTACTTGTTGAACTGAACCAGTTTAGCAGCCTATCCCAGCATGTCAGGTGCTCTAAAAAGACCTTGAAACCTTGAACAGCCGCAGATACAGCTGGTCCTCCAGGACCAAGATTGGACTACCCTGTTCATATCACTAAACCATGTCCTTTTGCTCTGAATGCCAAGATCAATGTAAAATTCGGATTGGCTTCTTCCTTAATTTTACTGTCATTAACACATCATGTGTACTCTCCTGTATAAGTTAGAATTTAATTAAATTGCACGGAAACCCCAAATTCTCCCCTAGTTTATAATATGTTTCATCATGAAGGTGCTGACAACTTCAAGGTTGTTGCATACAATGGGCCTACATTTTCAAAGAACTTAAAGGAGAAACACAACGTTTTGGCTGTTGAGCCCTTTTCCAGTGAGACATGAAGCAGTTAAAACACGTTTTTTCTTTATATCTGAAAGAAGCAGCGGCAGAAGTGTGTAGTTATTAGAATCCAACAGAGTCGGATGAAAATGCACAAAAACAGATACTGGCTATTGAAAGTCTCTGTGTTCATGAAGCCTGTCAGTGAGAATGTACTTTCATTCTGTTACATCTGTGTACTGTGCTGTGTCGTTTAAGGTTAATTACATCGTAAGTGATTCCGAGTTCCATATTCTGAACAGCTGGAAGCAGGAAGACCAGAACATACAAGAGGTAACAGAAGTGTGAATTCAGATGTTTATATCCAATATAGTGTGCCATAAGAGAGGAAGAAGACATCAGCTCGTACATTGAGAAACAAAATAAATGATATGGATATTATGTTGTTTCCAATTGGTGAGAGCAGAATATAAAAATCTGATTGAAAATATTAAAAACGTAACGGAGAAGTAGGTAACAGTTTGAAGCACGTGAGTTCTTTGTATTATCCGGTACAGCTCTGTTAAAAGAGTAATAGAATCTGAGTCAAACCTTGGATGGACAAACATTGATTAACAATATGATAACACAACTAAACACAAAACATTGCACAACAAAACTGAATTTCAGGAGCCTACGTCCTACAGACCTATAAACACAGAATTCTACCCCTGTTATCTGAACACTGTGCATCACCTTGCCAGCAAGAGAAATACCCTGTATCCTAAATGAAAGAACATGTCCCAAGACTAAATCTCCCACTTTGCAAAATGGATGCCCAAAAGTGAAAGGGAATCTGTCTCCCTGTTCTAAAAATGTATCACCATATCAAGAGAGAATGTTTTTAACTTGAGGAAATAATAAAGGAAATCTGAATTTCCCAAACTAAATATAACAGCATGCTCTCTAAAACAAGTTACAAATTACTTTACCAGAACACAGTCTCCAAGAAAGGTTAGGGCAAGCTCCTCTTGCATGGCACAAGCTTAGAGGAAGAGAAGGTTGATGGTGTTCCTTCTTCTCTGTCTCTCTCTCTTATTTTCCACTTTTTGTCTGCTGCATTTCTACACTGAGTTCTAGGATCCATTGATTATTTTGTTGATCTGTGTTTACCTGCATTTGTCAGCCCACCTACAGTTAGGCAAGTTCCTCAGAGGAAAACCCATTGTCCAAATAAGGCCTTTAGTAGTGCAATATGAATTGGCAAGGCTCAAGAATAGGCCAATCTTAAAGTGGGTTACGGTCTGACATTCATCAGGAACTGCCAGCAGCTACTTAACATGGCGGCATCCTTCAGATAAGACTTAAAACTGAGGTCTTGCCTCTCTATGGTCATTTAAAATCCCAGGGTCTTTCTCGAAAAGAGTAGGGGTGTTACTCCTAATGTCCAAGTTTACCGAATCACGAATAAGATAATTCACATATGTTATATTTTCCAATGTCAAGATCCTACTACACTCTGTTTTTATCCTCATTAAGAAATAAAAGTCCCTTTTAGTCTGCTTATCCTCAAAGATCCTTCTTCTCTCTCTTGTTGATGTCTGTGGATGAAGCTGATGTCTGCACTGGCAGCTGTGGGGCCACCTAACCCTCGCGAGGACCCAGAGTGCTGTAGCATCCTCCATGGATTAGTGTCTGCAGTGGAAGCCCTGTGTAAGATCACCGAGTACCAGCATGAAGCCCGCACAGCCATGATGGACATGGCCGACAGAGTTAGCAACAGGGGCCGGATTATCTGCATTACCAACGCAAAGAGGTATTGACTGGGCCAGGAGCATCTCCGACTCGGACCCGGATCGTGTCAAAGGTTATAGACCTGCTCGGTTATTGAAGGTGGCTTTTTGTCAGGAATGCTCTGCTTCTACCCAAGTGGGAACCCATCTTTAATTGCTGGGATTTTACTTTGTGATGACAGGTGTGTCAGAGTGTCAGCCTGCAATCAGAGACATGTGGGTAAGAAGTTGTGATGTAATCCTGGTCACAGTACTCATCTGAGAAATAGTTGGGGACACTGGGCTACGCAGAAAACCAGTCTCCTCTCCCTCCAGAATAGAATTCAGTTTTTGCTCTTCTGTGCGTTCGTCGAAGGGCGCAAGATGGGACCGAGGGCACGGCACTGCCCTCGACCTGGAAAGGATGCCAATCCAGTACAGGGCCATGCAGGAAGGAATGATTTATGATATCTAGTCAAGCCCAACCAGGCTTTGGAGGTGGGAGAATACAGGAGCAGCTGCAGAACGCCTCCCCTTCCCTGCTTGTTAAAAAAGTTTGGCTTTAATACTTGTTTTTTATGCGGCGTCAATACTCCCTGTTCAGCTGTTCTCAGGTCAGTCAGCTAGCAAGTACCGAACATGCCCGGTGGGCAGAATGGCCTCCTCTCGACTGTACTCGTTCATATATTCTCTCCCACTCTTCTGCCTCTAGTGACACCCATGTCCGAATGCTGGAGGACTGTGTCCAGGAGACCATACTAGAGCAAAACAAACTGGCAGCGGGCTCAGATCGGTGAGCACATAGTGCGTCTTCGCGTACCGGGTAATTCGAGGTCATTAAAAATCTCAGGGCGTTTCTGGAATAGAGTAGGGGTGTGACTTACCAGTCATGGAACTGGTGTGTGGTGAGCATACTGGTGCACTATGGCTGCCATGGGGACTCCACATTGGTGGTGGTGGAGGGGAGTCCCCATTACCTGTAAAGAGTTTTGATTGGAAATTCCAAATAAGTGCTCTATAGAAGTGTGTGGAATTTATTTATTTTACTTCACATCTCCCTGAGGAGGCAGAGAGTGTTAGCCTGCAATCAGAGACATGTGGATAAGAACCTATAAAAATGTAAAAAAAAATCTTTCAGTATCATTGTCTAAACACATAACATCAAACTGTCCTTGGTTATCTATAAGAATATAAATTACCTTTAGTGATGTCCTACCTGTAATTAAGAAATACTTTTTTTTCTGCCATGTGTGTAACAGATGTGGTCAGGGCAGCACGAACATTTTGGAAGTAATTTTAAGGAGATGCAGACTTCCGTTTTCCATTCCGCATTTTCCCTTCCAGGCTGATGCAGATTCAGCAGTGTGAGCTGGTCCTGATTCACACCTACCCCTCGGGAGATGACACACTGGTTTCAGACCGGCCCAGGAAAGAGGTATCTGTCGTGAGCGAACCTCCTGGGATTTTAAGCCAGAGAGGCGTCACTTTGCCCCAAAAAGAGCACCATCTCTGCTGAAAAAGAGAAAAAGAGACAGTGTTGTTCCAGGTTTTGTAGAGCTAGTAATGTTTTTTTAATTGAAAATATTTTAAAATGTTATTTCCTCTGCCTTTTGCCGTATGGTGTCTTAAATTGTTTTGTTCGTTAATGTTTTGCACCCCTGGCAATGTCGGTTTTCTTCTTTCCCAATATACTGGCCTGTGGCAGAAATTAAAAAAGCAATTGAGACGTATTTCTCTCACTAAGGAACATGTTAGATGACCCACTCAGAATTTTGGAGTCAGCAGTTATTTGTTGTTATTCCTGCCCCATTGTGTTGTGTGTTTTCCCACGTCTCGGCTGCTGGCTGTGAACCCCGTGACCTCTCAGGGGAGAGAATGAGGAAGTACAGGCAGACTCCCTCCTGTCTCCTTTCCACTTCTCCCGGGTACCGGAGCCCTGTAGTGGAGGTGCAGCGCTGAATGGAGGAGAGGTGCACTCACTCACAGCCCTGTCTGCCCAGGAGGCCTAAGGGGTCAGTCAGTGAGAGCCAAGAGAGGCCTGGCTGACTCACCCTGCTCTCAGTGGTGCTCAGCCAATTCTGCGCTGTCTCTTAGAGAATCCTGCTCGGAATCAGCTGGTGTTATAACTCGGGTTCGAACTTGTACCGCAACGCCCCACCTTTTCTTGATTTAAGATAGCGGTTGTCCTCTCACCGTGAGGCAAGACGCAAGCGCTGATCCGGTAGGACGCACGTATGTCTCTCCTGCCCAGATGCTGATTGCTTTTGTTCTAGATCTCCCCTTTCTTGACCAGCGAGGTCCATAGTGTGCGTGCAGGAAGGCATCTTGCGTCCAAGCTGAACATTCTCGTTCAGCAGCACTTTGACCTGGCCTCCACCACCATCACCAACATCCCCATGAAGGTAAGGCGTGTGGCCCAGTCCTGCAGCGATGCTCTCCGCCTTGCTTCTTTTAGCCTTGTTATGTATTTTTTTTGTAAACATAACATCCTATCGAAATGATCTTTATATTGCTTTTCTTTTCATATCATATTTTCTGTTTCGCTAGCCCACATTCAATGTCTGTGACCAGGTTAGTACATTTTCCGTACAAGAAGGATCACAAAACTAAAGGCTATATTGTTGTAAGCTGCTCCAACCTCCCCTGTTGACCAATAATATAGCTTTTCACATGTGGTTGATCTGTGTCTCTTCACCTGCTCTAGTAGCTTGTTACTCTGTCTGTGATCCTTCGTATTGTGTTCATTAGTGATTGATGACTCTTCTGGATTAAGTGCCAGAACACTCATTATTTGTCCTTTTTGTATATTTCTCCTTATTCTCCTAGTCTGGCCTGCCAGTTTTGTCCCTAACCGTGTCCTTTTTTTGCGTTTCCTATACTTCTCAGTAGCTGGTTTGGGGTTAACTAGAGACCCCATACAGAGATATTGTTTCTTGACGGTGCTGTTAATATATGAAAAAATATTATTATTGCCCCAGATCTTTCTTGTAAAATGCTGTAGTAATATTTAGTTTTGTGCATCTCAATTAATATTTTTATCTCTTCCTCACTGATTTATGATTTCATCTGTCTAATCCAGATTATTGTTTTACACAGAATACAGTTGGTTAGCAGCCCAGTGGTGTAGCACGCGCCAGTTTTGGAGTGCGTCTTATAGCTCCTTCTTGAAATAATTTTCAGTTTGTTAACCATACAAAACATGCCATCATCTAGATTCTTATATTAATTCTGCTGTGCAACAAAATACGTTTTTATCTAGTGTCTGTCTTTGAATAAAGAAAAAAACTCCATGCCCATAAATATTTTTTTGTGGAAAAGAAAGTTGATTCAGGATATCAGGATATTATCTGGGTGAGTTATTGCGTTTTAGTAGATTATGTTCATTATGAAAGAATGTGTATTGTATTTATATTTCATGCAGAAACCATCTCCATCTAACTTGGAAAGTTATAATCTCTTTTCAAAATCACACCCTGTAAATGGAAGAGCTTTTTTCGGAAGTGGTGTACTGTGTTTCTCAGGGTTTGTTAGTCGAGCTCACTTTGTGCAGGGAATTTTGCACAGCATAGAAAATGTAGACTCTTCCAGTATTTCATTAAACTCACTTTATATTGGTTTTGTATGTACTGAAGCATTATATACCTTCATATATTTAAAAGTACTGCTTCATTCTGAAGCAGTGTTTTTAGATTTTTTTGCTTTTGGCATCATGTTGAAACTCAACATTTTCTTACGATGTTTGAGATGTTCCTGTCGTTGGTCACTTAAATGAAAGAAATATGTGTCTTCAGTGGCAAATGAGATGTGTTTGTACTCGTTGCACTTCTGTGTTGATGTTTTACCTTTCCTTGGTAGTTAAGAGTGTTGTGTGTTTGGTTTTCTTTTGGACCTCTTTTATTTTTGCAATGATCAAAGGGCATGCCACTGCAATCTGTTCACCCCGCCTTTACCCTCGAGAACGTTTTGCACTTCAAACTCAATACTGTATGCACAGGTTCTCAGTATGCCCTGATGTGAATGAAACTCTGAATTCACACTGCTTTAAGACTTAGCAACTCACCACCTACTCGGAATGTAAGCCTTCTTAGAAATCAGGTTTGTCGTGGAATTAATCGTCAGCTAATATTTTTCCTAAGAAAATACCTATCTACTGTACCTGTTTTTCAGGTCTTTTTACAAAATGATAGCAGTGCTTTTTGAGAATGCTCACCCTATGGACTTTGCTTTATGAAATCCCTTAAGTACAAGCACAGACTTGCCAAAGTTCTGGACTGGTTTGTTGAAATGTTTTAATAATGACTCATCTTTATTCTACTGGAATTTGAGGTCTTTAGACCAACTGTAATGCATTTAGTCCACCGGTGTGATTCAGGCAAATCTCATGGTGACTAATGTTACATTATCAACAATGAGGAGTAATGAAATATTAAAAGGTTTCAGGATGTATAGTATTTAATACTTATTACATTAAGTAACTCATCTTTTGTGTGAAAACAAAGCATTTGAAGACATATGTCTTCCAGTCACTTGAGACAGCCATGATGCAGTTGTTGCAAATAATAATGACCTTTTATTTAACTTGACAAATCAGTTGAGAATAAATTGCCATTTATATTGATGCAAAGGAACAAGTAATAGGTTTATTCCATGCTGAAAAAAAGAGAAAGAAAACACAACGTTTCAGCCGTGGAGGCTTCTTCAGGTGTGAGCTGTGTTTTCTTTTTTCTTTCTTTCTTCTTTTTTTCAGCATGGAATAAACCTGTCACTTGTTCCTTTGCAGCCTACGCATGCTGACACAGCTACCCACCCAAATTTATATTAATGGCCTATATAGCCAAGAGCATTATGCTATAATTACATAGAAAACAAAGCAGTGAAAGAAAGAACCGTCAATAAAATGTAACACAACAGGGAGTGGCAGCATTAACAAGTGTAAGTGTCAGGCAGAAAAGGTTTCATCAACTTGCTGAAAAATCCTTCAGGTACAAAGTTGTTCAGCTTCTGTTCACTCTGCTAATTCTTGTGCTCATTGGCAGAGGCAAATTGAAATGACTTGAGCCCAGAGTTGTTTGTTGCTCTTGGGTGGATTAGTTTGTTAAATCGTGATTGGAAATACATTATGAAGATGGCGAGGTCGTTTCATGAACAAAGATCTGTGAATGCTTAAGCCAGTGAGGCATTTGTCTGGTATGCAGAGAAGACTTCTCGATCAAAAAAATCGATAAAAATCGCATGAGGTTAATAGAGGGGCACCCATCCAGTCTGAGGCAACAGGTTCTCAAGAACAGCTTTATAATCCATTCAGTCATAAAGATTGAGACAGTGGACATTTGAACTGTGGATTTTTATTCATGAGTTTATCATGAAGTAAAAATTTTGGTAATGTTACAAAGGGGGCAGTTCTAGTTATTTTCTATCAAATAGCATGCATTTAATTTTATCACAAACAAAACACACTTAAAACTAAACAGTTAATTGGTTATCACCCATGACAAAGTAGATGCTGTTGAGATATCTTCAGGGTAGATGTGGATAAGAGGGTTGCCCAAATCTTCAGCTGTTAATACAGATGGAGAAAAGAGCAGGACCCAGGATGGAACCTTGTGGGACTCCCTAAGCAACAGGCAGAGGCTGTCAAACACTTGTGTCGGATTTTATGCACAGGATACAGTTTTGTAAGTAATTCTGAACTCTTGCAAGGATGTTTATGTCATTATCAGTACTGTGCCGTGTTTTCAGAAGAATGGACTGATCCTTTGCTGACCAGTGGACTGATTTTTGTTGATTTTAGAAAGTCATGCTGGATCATAAAACTGAATCAGCTCTGGAAGTCAGCCACATCAAAAGTAGCTGATACTGTTATTGTCGACTTATCAAGCAGACAACCAGCATTAATGCTATATTTATTGAGTTCTTTTTTATATTTCACATCTGGAGAAGACCTTCAGTGGATTGAGCTTAGGACAGTAATGTTGCTACTGAAGTATCTGGGTGAGGAGAGTTTTTTTTCCAAAGCAGAGTACGAACATAACAATCTGTTAAGATTTATAACACAGCACTGTACAATGTTCACATCAGTGGCTGGAAAATCAAAGTCAGCCACTTCCCCTGAGGTGACAGACTGGACTGGTCAGCTGCCTTTTGTGGTTTACAGCAGTGACCTGCAGTGGCAAGGATAGATCTGGAAAATGGAATTGGACATGCATGAAAATAAATTATAAGCAAAACATTAAGATGCCTTTTATCTGGGTAAATGTGTCTTAAGCTGTGTGTGAATTTATTTAGGAAAAATGGCCAACCTCAGTGCATACAGTATGTAACCTTCCTGTCTGGTAATATTACTTCGGTTTGAATGATCTGAGAAATATAAGTCAGCCCAATCTCTTCGGTAGCATTTCATGTGATCTAACAAACTATTAAGAGTAGCCATTTCCTGATTTAACAGACTCCATTTTGCCTTTTTTTGACATGAAGGAAGAACAGCACGCAAACACTTCTGCTAATTATGACGTTGAGTTACTTCACCACAAAGATGCACACATGGAATTCATAAAGAGTGGTACGTAAGAAAACGATCAAAACAACCAGTGTTGATTGTTTTATATTAATTGCCCTTCTTTAATACAGACAAAAAAAGTCCTGAATCTGTTTTATTCTTTCCTTTTATGTCATACGGTGTATGGGTAGAGGTTAATTCCACACTGAAAAGCAGCAATTACAGGCACACTGAAGCCAAATGTGAGATACTGATTGTTCTGTGCTTTCTTTACTTTTGTGTAAGTTGACTGATGATAAATGGAAGTCTTTTATTCAGACTTTTTATACCAGATTATAAACTGATCAAACTGACTTCATCCTAGAGAGCATTTAATGGTCTATGAGAACAGTGAATTGCAGTCATTTTCAATTTAGTTTTAAAGGCTTAACAGCACTTCCCTCTTTGGCATCATTTAGAATAAAGTAAGTATGCACATATGTGCACTAGTTACATTGTAAAGTCTGCTCAGTACGTTTTAAGTACATAGAGTTTGATTCTTCCTGGTAGGGAATGTTTCACAAATTTCAAATGGAAAACAAAAAAAGTGCAATCGTAGGATAGCAAAGATGGCTGTATGTCTGCCTTTCTTGTGTATAGAATTTCAAAGAGCATGATTGGATTGCTTCCTGGATTTCCTTTCTCAGGTGACTGATTTAGAATTACAGCTAATGGGTTTAAATTACCTGAGCCAAAGAAATAAAACACTTCCAATCACAAATTGCATCAGGTAATTACTGCCATAACAGTCACTTACCATAGTGTTTTCTGAATCATCAAAAAGAACGCGCTTTCATTTTCTAGATTTAACAACCTGTTTTTCGATTGGTTGAACAGGAGATCTGCACCCTCCTGGCAGTAACAGCAGAGACAGCAGCCTGAAAGAAACGGTGACGTTGAAGTGGTGCACCCCACGCACTAATAGTGTTGGTAAGTGTCAGTGTCAGAATGGTTTCATTCTGCTTGCTCTGGCAGAGTGAGTCATGCTGCCTGAGACATTGCCAGCCTTTGGCCAGGCGGCCTGTCTGGCCTGTATGCACCTGTGGGAATCCCTGGCCTTAGCTGTGCATGTTGTTTTGACAAAGTCTTTCGGCTTTGTTTTGTTTTCGGAAAGGCTTTTGTTTTAGGTCTTTGTTGAGTGAAGTCTTTCAAACAAAACCAGGATTCCATTGGGCCTTGCTGTTCCCTCTGTGGTGTAGTGGAGTTCACGTGTGAAGGTCCCCTGAGCTCGACTACCACAGGCCAAGCTCTTCCACATTGCCCAGGGGTTGCTGTAGCGTTCAAGCTCCCCTGAAGATCAGGAACAGAGGCCTGCTTTCTGCTGTTTTAATGAGGGCATATGCTTGCCTGTAACCCTTTTTACCTTCCATCTTTTTTTATTTACGTTTTAGAGTTGCATTTTTGCACTGGTGCCTATCGCATTTCACCTGTGGATGTCAACAGCAGGCCATCTTCTTGCTTGACAAACTTTCTTTTGAACGGTAAGGGGAGAGAGTTCCAATTTAAGTACCTTTAGAGAATCAAATTGTTTTTCTTCGTGCTGTGACATGGCTGGGTTGGCGAGGTGGTAGCAGGATCTTAAATAGGGGGGCTTTGGATAACTGAAATACGCACATAAAAACAGCATTGATATGGTCAGGCAGCCAGACTGCTTACCGACCTTAATTTAAAGCAAACTTTTAGCTTTCTCTTAGCCCACAATGTCTGTACAATGGCGTACATGCAGGAATATGTCCCTGCATGTGTATGTTGTGATCTGGTGGAAGATCCACTTGATGTGTGGACTACGCTTGACTTAACAGAAACATGTAGGTTCTCACAATGGGAGACTTCTAGCAGAGCAAAGTCCTGTGAATAAGTGTAGGCTTTATTGTAATGTATCTTTTGAGTGCAATTGCAAGATATCTCAGTTTCCTCCTCTTACCCTCAAAGGAACTGAATGTTTACCCACAAAGGAAAGCCTGTAAGGCAGGCTCAGCTGGTTGCCCTGTCTCATCCATCGTGAAAGCTTTTCGCTTGCTCCGCAGGTCGGTCAGTGTTGCTGGAACAGCCACGCAAGTCGGGATCCAAAGTGATCAGCCACATGCTCAGCAGCCACGGCGGGGAGATCTTCCTGCATGTGCTGAGCAGCACACGCTCCACCCTGGAGGACCCCCCCTCCATCAGTGAGGGCTGTGGAGGCAGAGTCACCGATTACAGGATCACTGTAAGTGCGGGGGGCCTACCTGAGCTATTACATTCATGTAATCCATGCCTCAGTATTCATCTTCCCATGGATGAGCGAGAAGTCTTCGTGTCTTTTGAACTGTGTGGACATTACTGCCCAGTGACTTCAGAAGAGATTGTTGTAGATCCTTTTTTGTGTCATATGCTGTAGCTCTCTAGCAGCTAGCTTGACAGAAATGACAGTGTCAGTGTAATGAATTGACTGCATGTGGGCTATCAGCACATCTGAAAAAGGCCCCTAAATAAACGCGTGCACGTCTTTACGCTTGACCTTTTTAAAACGCAGTGCTTGATGTGGACGGTCACGCAGGAGGCTAATCGTAGGATCGTTTTCCCCTTTTGTGCAGGACTTTGGCGAGTTTATGAGGGAGAACCGGTTGACTCCATTCACGGATTCCAAACATCTGGAAGCACCGGATAAAGTGCCCTTGGAGAGAGCTAAGGATCAGTTAGAACGGCACACACGGTACTGGCCAATGATCATCTCTCAGACCACTATCTTCAACATGCAGGCTGTAAGTATCTTACCTGCTCTCTTTGTAGGCTGCATGGTTGCCTTTAAAGCCATTCATTGGTTTTGCTTTTGTACGTTCGCTCCCTGCCTGTTGCTGCCCCTAGGGAGTCTGTAACTGGACTTCAGTGCCGATCTCTCTGTGCCCAGGTGGTGCCTTTGGCCAGTTTAATAGTGAAGGAAAGTCTGACAGAGGATGACGTGCTGACCTGTCAGAAGACCATTTACAATTTGGTCGACATGGAGAGGAAGAACGACCCCCTTCCCATCTCGACCGTGGGGACAAGAGGAAAGGGCCCCAAAAGGTAAGAGCCTCGGCCGTCTCCCTGTCTGACCGGCTTCTGCCAAGTTGAAGAGAGGAACAGCTGTTTGGATGTGTGTCCTGAACGCCGTGTCCTGCCCGTTTGTGTCTCTCAGGGACGAGCAGTACCGCATCATGTGGAACGAGGTGGAGACGCTGGTGAGGGCCCACATCGGCAGCACGGACCGACACCAGCGAGTCCTGGACTGCATCCTGGCCTGCCGCAGCAAACCCCCCGAGGAGGAGGAGCGCAAGAAGAGAGGCAGGAAGAGGGAGGACAAAGAGGACAAAGCCGAGAAGAACGGCAAAGACGCGGAGGCGGAGAAGACGTGGCAAGAATCGGAGAGGTCCGAGGCGCCGTGCCCCTCATGTGCCAGGCTGCCTAGCAAGGCTGGGTGTCTTGTCACGCATTCTCGATTCACACTGGTTTCATTACACAGTG